GAAATGAGCGCACTCATGGAAGAGGACTGGCGTTACGCGCAGGTGAAGATGGATAGTGAAGATAGTTGCAGTTATACGTGGTCAATAGATGACCTCATCGATTGCTGTAGAAACATGATAAAGATGTCGAAAAACTCACCCATGTTCTCAGCAGATCCCAACAAGTCGGAATGGAAAATGCAAGTAAATCTTAATAAAGACTATAACATGTCGCTATCCCTCTTTCTTCGTTGTTGCGAGGATGAAGCAGTCACCGCTAAGTACAAACTTTCTATTCGTAATGCCAATGGAGAAGAAATTAGTAACCATGACGAACTGCACGCTCACAAGTTCGAAGAGGGTGGCTGTATAACCATCAAGAACTTCCTCAAGAGAGACGAGTGTCTTCAGTACGCGGACACCGGACGGTTTCCAGATAACAAACTTATAATATACTGTCAGATCAGCGTAATAGAAGACATTATGGTCTTTCCCCAACAAAGTGCGCTACATGTACCGGAGCAATCGACATTGCTCGACAATCTCGGGCTGCTGTTCGATGACCAAAAATTTTCCGACGTAACGATCGCTGTTCGCGGAAAGGAGTTCCAAGTGCACAAAGTAATTCTCGCAGCACAAAGTCCCGTTCTCTCGGCAATGTTCGAACACGAGATGAAAGAAAGAGAGACTAATAGGGTGGACATCACCGATATGGACCCCGAAGTTTGGAGAGAAATGGTGCGATTTATTTACACCGGTAAAGTCGCGAATTTGAAGGAGATGGCGAACGATCTGTTTAGCGCAGCGGACAAGTACGGAGTTGAAAGTCTGAAGAAAAAGTGCGAGGTGGCACTTGTCGAAAAATTGAATTTTAAGAACGCGACGGAAATCTTCATACTTGCCGATCTCCATGACGCCCCTCGGCTGAAAGCGTATGTGATTGACTTCATTGTTACATACGCGACGGATGTGATGGATACCGAAGGTTTCGAGTCCATGGCGAGTTCCTATCCGCACCTGACGAAAGAAATTTTGCAGGCGTTAGTGACTCCGGTGCAAACAACATCGAAAATATGTAAAGAAATAAATGAGGCACAAGATACAATAAATCGTTTGCGCCGTTCGAGATATAAGGCTGGCTTTATAGCCATGCGGGCAAAATGCCCGTATTACCCAGGAAGAACAAAAAAGTCAAAATGATGTCAAAATGATGTCAAAATATAATCAAATTTTAGTTCGTCAAAATGATGTCAAGTTGCATAAATTTTTGATGCTTTCTTGATGTCAAAATCGTAACATAATTTTGACTTAGTTTGACTATTCGTAATATGATACCCAGATAGAACATAAAACTCATAATGACGTCATTATGACTATCACAATTTTATTTATCACATAAAAGTTATCTGAACATATCTAGAAAAGAGTTTTATGTTCTATTTGGGTTGGGATGATTGTTAGTCAAATCAAGACCTTTTTATGACTACTTTTTATATTATACATTTTTATAATAATAAGCAGTTATACAGTCAAGAAACGTATCACATTTTCTAAATATTAAGAAAAAAATTTTTTTTTAAGAAGTCAATATAAAGTCATTTTTAACTCATCTGAAATTAAGATTTTTAATCATGACCAAAAAATGACGTAAATTTGGTCAATTTGATGTCAAATTGACATTATTTTGACTTTATAATAAAACTCCTGTTCACGCAGCGATCACGTGCTCAATCACTTGTGCCTTTATTTCTGTATTCCATTTGCGAAGAAGCATTTCCCCAAAAAGTTAGAATGTAAATTAGAATAAGTGACGTTTGTAAGGAGATTGTAATCCTAAGGGGAACAAAGCTAATTCTATTCTTTTGTATTCTACTACTTCTTGTACAACTTATTTGCGCAGATAATCTATAAAAATTATGAAAAAGTATCAGAAAATAAAACATTTCATTCTCCTAATCATAATAACTCAATTATAGAGTAGATCAAATGTTCTTCATGGTCAACATTCTAGATCTCTTTACTTCGACAATAATGTTATTCAGTAATCAAGTTGCGGTGGATTATTTGTCTGAGGATATATCTTTTCTCAAAATATTTATCACAAACGTATTATGACTGTTTAAGAGATTAAGGTAAATAATGACCGCCTTCAGCAAAAAAGTCGCTCGGTGAACGCTTCGCGCTGATTGGGTTATACTTTTAGATCTGTGGATAGAACTATTCGTCTACATTTTTAAAGTATAATCCAATCACCACAAACGCTCACTGAGCAGTTTTCTCCACTGAACGCGGCCAATATTAGCCTGTCATTTAAAAAAAATATTTTTCAATATTTGACGGCACTTTGAACATCGAGCGCTTTCGCTTATCTGCAATCTGTTTTATCTGTTATCTTGATACCGTACAACTTACAATTAGTCATGGCAATTATCGCACTTTTTTCGATAAAAAATCGAAACGTAAGATTAAGCACGTCAATTCAAAGTCTATTATATCCCAGCGAGAAATGAGTCGTCCCTACCCATACGGCACAGATAGATTCTGAGTATATATGCAGTATATCGCAAACGTAGATTGTGTATATTCCATTAATATTCGAAATACGTACCACGATATTTTGAGAATGTACGGAGGATGTTTCTATGTCTGCCCTAGAAGCCTACTCAGTATACAGGGTGAGTCTTTCCATATCCGACAAAATTTTTGAGAAGGTAGAACGGATCGAGATGAACAAAAAAGTCCTGCACCATTTTGAAATTTTCGTAATAGTTAACGAGTAATTAATTATTAAAAATCGTTGTCTTAGGCCGGCCTACACTGAAAAAAGAGTTTACTAATAGTTACCAAAGTCATTTAGTTACAAATTTTTGCTGAATAATTGGTTACTATTACTGTATTTGACAACAGCTATCTAATATTTATTAGCTCAATTATGTGAAGAAAGATTGTTCATGGTTGAGTCAAATAAATAATTTGGTAACAGTTACCAAATATTTAGTACCTGTCACTAAGTAGCGCATGCGTCGTACGCTTCTTGCAGACTTCTGCCGGTGCACGCGTAGTTAAGGATATAGAGTGTTATTTGTTTTAACAATAGTAAACTTTTGTAGTAGTTATTACATATCTTTGTTTCAAACGTTATTTAGATTTGGTAATAGTTATCAAGGTTTAATTGGGTAAAGTAAATTTTTAGTTGATTTCACTAAAATTTTATTATTTTAACTAATTATTTATGTCGCTCAACTACATTATATCGTAATTGTTAGCTTATGTTTAATTGGCACTATTTCACCAAATCATTTCGTTATAGTTAGCAAATACTGGTCAATATAATCAAATCCTTTTTTCAGTGTACCGCCCAATTTGAGCGCGTGGCAAGATGTGACCGCCCGGCGATCGATATTGCTATGCGCACATCTCGCCACGCGCTCGAATTGGGCGGTAGGCCAGCCTAAGACAACGATTTTTAATAATTAATTACTCGTTAACTATTACGAAAATAGCAAAATGGTACAGGACTTTTCCGTTCATCTCGATCCGTTCTACCTTCTAAAAAATTTTGTCGGATATGGAAAGACTCACCCTGTATACTGAAAATATTTCTTGGTATATCATAGGTATATTAATAAAATATTTTGATCACATAATTAATTGCCTGGTCAGGTTTTCCTTATCAAGACGTCATAACTTGCCTCTTGTTACGCCTTATAATTTCTAATAGGAGGGTAGTAGGGCATCAGTAGGCAACCTATTAAAAATATTTAATTTTTAACCTTAAAAATAAATAATGTTCAAAATGTGTTATAAATTATGTAATCATCAAAAGTATATTCAGGTCAATTGAAGTTTATCCATGATCCAGACAACCCAGTCAGATCATATCGGCTTGCCTCTTATACTAATATAGAATGATTTTTACTTACGAGAAGGCTAACGCGCGGTCGCCACATCGCGGCAGTAAGTGGTTACTAGTACTACATGTTCTGAAAATATACGAGAATATGCGAAAAATAATATACTACTAAAAATGTTATAGGGATGATCTCAGTATGTTAAATACAGTACGTTTTACAGTATTGTTTTATAATATACGTAACAATATATTTTGTCAATATACGATATATATACGAAAAATAATATACTGTAAAAGATGTTCTGAAAACATCCTAAAAATATACGAAAACTGATATACTACAGGAGATATTATAGAGATATTCTCAGTATATTATGTACAGTACGTACATTCATAGTATATGAGTATAGAATATTCGTATAATATCATGTGCTGTCTGGGTAGTAACACAATATATTAGCGTAATATTGGGAAATAATGCCAATCTAGTATTTCCAATATTCGGCTAATAATGTAAGATGGACGCCTTTTCTTATTTTTCCAATATGTCTATTTAGCAATATTGGTCTAATATTGCATCAATATGAGATCAATACTCTTATTATATGTATTATTAAATATTGGCCAATGCACTTCTAATATAAATCTAATATTATATAATTATTATTGTACAATATTTACCTTTCTTTTATGGCCAATATTGACCTTACGTTGGACAATATCGGCCAATGCATTTCTAATATAACTATAATTGGACCAATGTTTAGCGAATGTTTAGCCAATGCACTGTGCTACTAATTGCAAGCGTCGATCGGCATCGAAAGGATATCTAATCCAAATCAATTTTTTAATATCGATATCAATCCGACGATTAATTTCTGTTGGCACTGATAGGAGATATCTCTTATCTCTAGTTGAGCGAGTTTTTTCGTATGTTCGAGCTTTACATCGACTCACTCCATCAGAAGTCTCTCTTGTGTGTCCTTCGTGTAAATTTCTTGAGTATTATTATTAGAGTGCGACAAAGAACGTGAAGTAGTATGGCAGACGTGTCAAATTCGCTACCGCCAGAAATAAGCGCACTCATGGAAGAGGACTGGCGTGACGCGCGTGTGAAGATGGATAGTGAAGATAGTTGCAGTTATACGTGGCCAATAGATGACCTCATCCATTGCTGCAGAAACATGACAGAGATCGGGAGAGACTCACTCGCGTTCTCAGCAGGTGCCAACAAGTCGAACTGGAAAATGAGAGTAAATATTTATAAAGACTACATGTCGCTATCCCTCATTCTTAATTCGTGCAAAACTTACGAAGTCAACGCTAAGTACAAACTTTCTATTCGTAATGCTGAAGGAGAAGAAATTAATAACCATGACGAACTGAACGTTCAAAAGTTCGTCAAGGGTCGCTCTATAATCATCAACAACTTTCTTAAGAGAGACGAGATTCTTCAGTACGCGGACACCGGACGGTTTCCAGATAACAAACTTATAATATACTGTCAGATCAGCGTAATAGAAGACATTATGGTCTTTCCCCAACAAAGTGCGCTACATGTACCGGAGCGTCGATTGCTCGACAATCTCGGGCTGCTGTTCGATGACCAAAAATTTTGCGACGTAACGATCGCTGTTCGCGGAAAGGAGTTCCAAGCGCACAAAATAATTCTCGCAGCACAAAGTCCCGTCTTCTCGGCAATGTTCGAACACAAGATGAAAGAAAGAGGGAATAATAGGGTGGACATCACCGATGTAGATCCCGAAGTTTTGAGAGAAATGGTGCGATTTATTTACACCGGTAAAGTCGCGAATTTGAAGGAGATGGCGAACGATCTGTTAACCGCGGCGGACAAGTACGAAGTGGAAGGACTGAAGAAAATGTGCGAGGGGGCACTTGTCAAAAAATTGAATCTTAAGAACGCGGCAGAAATCTTAATACTTGCCGATCTCCATGACGCTCCTCAGCTGAAAGCGCATGTGATGGACTTCGTTGTGACATACGCGACGGATGTGATGGATACCGAAGGTTTCGAGTCCATGGCGAGTTCCTGTCCGCACCTGACGAAAGAAATTTTGCAGGCGTTGGTGACTCCGGTGCAAATAACATCGAAAATATGTAAAGAAATAAATGAGGCACAAGATACGATAAATCGTTTGCGCGATTCGATATATAGGGCGGGCTTTATGGCCAGGCGGGCAATATGGCCGTATTAAATATTCTAAACATTGATAAACATCGATAATGTATAAAAACCAATTATTGTAGCTATTCTTGAAGTTTGGTAACAAGAACCTCTCTATTTTGTTGTTATTTGTGGTTTGGTGTTTCATTGTTCTCCATAACCATCAAAATATACACGTTAAAGTCAGACATGGCACTTCCAACTAAGTAAGATTTTCAAATTAAAACAAAATAATTTTGGCTTTACTCATTACGCATTTCAAAACCTGAACCTTGGCTATATTTTTATAATAAACTTATCGTGCTTTGCCCATTATTTTGATAATTATAATGCACATTATTGAATGTATGACTACGTTTCCACCGAGAGTCAGAGTCGGGTCAGAATCGGGTTGGAGTGAGCGTTTTTGCGATGGAAACACCAAACCCCAATCCGATTCTGATCCGGTTTGGTGTTTCCACCGCAAAAACGCTGACCCCAACCCGATTCTGACCCGACTCTAGCCCGACTCTGACCCTCGATGGAAACGTACGTAGTCTATGCTCGGCGGCTCATATGACCGGCGACAAAGGTAGCTAAAATATGGCCAGCGAGTGCAACGAGAGAGCAGCGAGTACAACAGAGTGTAGAGTACGCCAGTGCTGAGAGTGATAACAACGAAGAAAGAAAATAGTTATTATTAATAAATTGTGAGAGCGCGGCGTTACGTAGAGAGTGTGGAGAGGAGAGGAGAGGAGAGGAGAGGAGAAGAGAGAGAGAGAGAGAGAGAGAAAGTAAATAAAAAATACCTCACTTTTGCAAAATATTACTGTTTTGTACACTTTTCTTATAGTTGGCCATATTACCCACCCCACGTTTAATATGGCCAAATCGCATACTTTCAGATTCTTTTTTTTCTTCGAATATGGATAGATTTTAATTGATCAAGGCATTTTGTCATCAAAGCTTATTAAATACACTAGAATTTCAGAAAGTTACAAAATAAAAACCAGCGGTTTGAAAATTATGACTTCAAATAAAAACTATGGCCATAATGCCCGCCTTTACCCTATGTGGATTGATACCAAAAAATTGATTTGTCATTGAATAGGAGAGATTTAGATACCTCGTATACTTATTTCAGAGTATTCCAACCGGTCACGTGACTGTTCCCCCACCAAGATTCCGCCGGTAAGCACTCTCCGCCTGAAGTTACCCCCTCTCATGACTGCGTTCGTCACATCGCATATTCAAAAGCGATGGGGATCAACCGCACGGCGTGCGCGAGTTGGAATACTCTGACTTATTTCTATTGATAACAGTAATCTTTGCAAGATCATTCTAATTTTTGTTATGATCTTACTTTTATGTATGTACAATGTAGTAATAATAACAACAACAATAATAATAGTTGAAAAAAATTATTATTAGCGTTACGCAATCGATGTCTTGCGTCTTATTATATACATATACTTTTGTCAGCAGATAAGGAAAAATCTTTTTCTCTTTTCCTTTTGCCGTGATAATTAAATACCATTGTGCATGGTTTATCTTGTTTTTTGGGTTTTTATTTCATACTGTGAGCGAAATGGTAGAATCAAACACTATTGTTATTAAATTTAGAGTTATTGAATTTATTAGAATTACGTGAAGTGTTTCACATAGATATACATATGTGTTCGATTTGAGTTATGATGAAATATTATTTTAGAGATGTTATATTTAATTTACAATTCGATGTTGGTAACGGATGAGAAGAATGAAAAAAAAGGTGTGTCTATTAATATAAATCTTTTACTTTCTTGTATCAATTTACACAATATTTGATCTTGAAGGCTTAAGAAAAAATGTAAAATTATCTTCAAAGTTTGAAAAGTTACTTTATAAAAGTATCTAGTTAGAGTTATAATTTCAAGTTCTGAAAAGTAATTCTGTAAAGTAACGCGTTACAGTTACGGTTACTCAGAAAGTAACGAATCGTTACTTTGCGGTTACTTTCTTGCAATGAAAATAAAAATCACCTCTGTAGTTGAATTGTAAAGCGCAGATAAAGGCGTTTATGCCAGGAATGAAGGCAAAAGTGATCGAGCGCGCGATCGTGTGTATATGTATAGGTATATGTATATGTATATACATATATGTAAATGAATCCTTTATAATAAAACTCCTGTTCACGCAGCGATCACGTGCTCAATCACTTGTGCACAATCACTTCTGCCTTTATTTCTGTATTCCACTTGCGAATAAGCATTTCCCCAAAAAGTTAGAATGTAAATTAGAGTAAGTGACGTTTGTAAGAAGATTGTAATCCTAAAGCGAATAAAGCTAATTCTATTCTATTGTATTCTGCTACTTCTTGTACAACTTACTTGCGCAGATAATCTAAAAAAATTATGAAAAAGTATCAGAAAATAAAACATTTCATTCTCTTAATCATAGTAACTCAATTATAGAGTAGAAATGTTCTTCTTGGTCAACATTCTAGATCTCTTTACTTCGACAATAATGTTATTCAGTAATCAAGTTGCGGTGGATTATTTGTCTGAGGATATATCTTTTCTCAAAATATTTATCACAAACGTATTATGACTGTTTAAGAGATTAAGGTAAATAATATCCGCCTTCAGCAAAAAAGTCGCTCGGTGAGCGCTTCGCGCTGATTGGGTTATACTTTTAGATCTGTGGTGTGATAGAACTATTCTTATACATTTTTAAAGTATAATCTAATCACCACAAGCGCTCACTGAGCAGTTTTCCCCACTGAATGCGGCCAATATTAGCCTGCCATTAAAAAAAAATATTTTTCAATATTTGACGGCACTTTGAACATCGAGCGCTTTCGCTTTCGCTTATCTGCAATCTGTTTGATCTGTTATCTTGATACCGTACAACTTACAATTAGTGATCATGACAGTTATCACATTTTTTGTCGATAAAAACTCGAAACCTCACATTAAGCATGTCAATTAAAACTCTATTATATCCCAGCGAGAAATGAGTCGTCCCTAGTAACACAATATATTAGCGCAATATTGGGAAATAATGTCAATCTAGTATTTCCAATATTCGGCCAATAATGTAAGATGGACGCCTTTCCTTATTTTTCCAATATGTCTATTTAGCAATATTGGTCTAATAATGCATCAATATGAGATCAATACTCTTATTATATTATTAAATATTGGCCAATGCACTTCTAATATAAATCTAATATTATACTATAATTATTATTGTACAATATTATACATTTCTTTCATGTCCAATATTGGCCTTACGTTGGACAACATCGGCCAATACATTTCTAATATAACTATAATTGGACCAATGTTTAGCGAATGTTTAGCCAATGCACTGTGCTACTGATTGTAAGCGTCGATCGGCATCGAAAGGATATCTAATCGAAATCAATTTTGTAGTATCGATATCGATCCGACGATTAATTTCTGTTGGCACTGATAGGAGAAATCTCTTATCTCTAGTTCAGCGAGTATTTTCGTATGTTCGAGCTTTACATCGACTTACTCCATCAGAAGTCTCTCTTGTGTGTCCCTCGTGTAAATTTCTTAAGTATTATTATTAGAGTGCGACGAAGAGAACGTGAAGTAGTATGGCAGACGTTTCAAATTCGCCACCGCCAGAAATGAGCGCACCCATGGAAAAGGACTGGCGTTACGCGCAGGTGAAGGTGGATAGTTTCAGTTATACGTGGACAATAAATAACTTCAGTTATTACTGCAGAAACATCGAGAAGAACGAGATAAACTCACCCACGTTCTCAGCAGATGGCTACAAGTCGGACTGGCGCCTGGAAATAAATCTTAATAAAGAGGACAAAGACTACGTGTCGCTATCCCTCATTCTCGTTTGTTGCGACAAACTCGAAGTCAACGCTAAGTACGAATTTTCTATTCTTAATGCCAACAGTGTAGTAATTAAAAAACATGAGGCCCTGCGCGTTCACAAGTTCGTCAAGGGTGGCTCTATAAGCTGCAAGAACTTCCTCAAGAGAGACGAGTGTCTTCAGTACGCGGACACCGGACGGTTTCCAGATGACGAATTTATAATATACTGTCAGGTCAGCGTAATAGAAGACATTATAGATATTGCCCAACAAAGTGTAGGTGCGATACAAGTACCGGAGTGCCGGTTGCTGGACAATCTCGGGCTGCTTTTCGATGACCAAAAATTTTGCGACGTAACGTTCGCTGTTCGCGGAAAAGAGTTCCAAGCGCACAAAGTAATTCTCGCAGCACAAAGTCCAGTTTTCTCGGCAATGTTCGGACACGAGATGAAAGAAAGAGATAATAATAGGGTGGACATCACCGATATAGATCTCGAAGTTTTGAGAGAAATGGTGCGATTCATTTACACCGGTAAAGTCGCGAATTTAAAGGAGATGGCGAACGATCTGTTAACCGCGGCGGACAAGTACGGAGTGGAAAGACTGAAGAAAATGTGCGAGGGGGCACTTGTGGAAAAATTAAATGTTAAGAACGCGATGGAAATCTTCGTACTTGCCGATCTCCATGACGCCCCTCAGCTGAAAGCGTATGTGATGAACTTCATTGTTACATACACGACGGATGTGATGGATACCGAAGGTTTCGAGTCCATGGCAAATTCCTATCCGCACCTGACGAAAGAAATTTTGCGGGCTTTGGTGACTCCAGAACAACCTACATCGAGAATAAGTAATGAAATAAATGAAGCACAAGATAAGATACATCAATTGCGCCGCTCGAGATATATTGTAGGGGATATTGCACCAAAAATTGATTTGTCATTGAGTAGGAGAGATTAAGATACCTCGTATACTTATTTCTACTGATAGCAGTAATCTTATTAGAGTGTTTCAAAATTCAAGATCATTGTAGTTTTTGTTATGATCTTACTTTTAGCCATAATATAGTAAGAAATAATGTCAATCTAGTATTTCCAATATTCGGTCAAAATAAGATGGACGCCTTTCCTTATTTTTCCAATATGTCTATTTAGCAATATTGGTTTAATATTGTATCAATATGGGATCAATACTCTTATTATATTATTATAAATATTGGCCAATGCACTTCTAATAGAAATCTAATATTATATAATTATTATTGTACAATATTATACATTTCTTTCATGGGCAATATTGGCGTTACGTTGGACAATATTTGCCAATGCATTTCTAATATAACTATAATTGGACCAATGTTTAGCGAATGTTTAGCCAATGCACTGTGCTACTGATTGTAAGCGTCGATCGGCATCGAAAGAATATCTAATCCAAATCAATTTTGTAGTATCGATATCGATCCGACGATTAATTTCTGTTGACATTGATAGGAGATATCTCTTATCTCTAGTTGAGCGAGTTTCTTCGTATGTTTCGAGCTTTACATCGACTTACTCCATCAGAAGTCTCTCTTGTGTGTCCCTCGTGTAAATTTCTTGAGTATTATTATTAGAGTGCGACGAAGAGAACGTGAAGTAGTATGGCAGACGTGTCAAATTCGCCACTGCCGGAAATGAGTGCACCCATGGAAAAGGACTGGTGTTACGCGCAGGTCAAGGTGATTAAATTCAGAAATATGTGGACAATAAATAACTTCAGCTATTACTGCATAAACTTCAATAAGATAGACTCACCCACGTTCTCAGCAGATGTCTACAAATCGAACTGGCGCCTGGAAATAAATCTTAATAAAGAGGACAAAGACTACGTGTCGCTATCCCTCCTTCTCGTTTCGTGCGACAAACTCGAAGTCAGTGCTAAAGTCGAATTTGTAATTTTTAATACCAACGAAGAAATAATACATAGACATGTGACCCGGCGTGTTCACAAGCTTGTCCAGGGTGTCTCTATAGGCTGCGACAACTTCCTCAAGAGAGACGAGTGTCTTCAGTACGCGGACACCGGACGGTTTCCAGATGACAAACTTATAATATACTGTCGGGTCAGCGTAATAGAAGACATTATATAGATATTGCCCAACAAAGTGCAGGTGCGGTACAAGTACCGGAGTGCCGGTTGCTGGACAATCTCGGGCTGCTTTTCGATGACCAAAAATTTTGCGACGTAACGTTCGCTGTTCGCGGAAAAGAGTTCCAAGCGCACAAAGTAATTCTCGCAGCACAAAGTCCAGTTTTCTCGGCAATGTTTGGACACGAGATGAAAGAAAGAGATAATAATAGGGTGGACATCACCGATATAGATTCCGAAGTTTTGAGAGAAATGGTGCAATTTATTTACACCGGTAAAGTCGCGAATTTGAAGGAGATGGCGAACGATCTGTTAACCGCGGCGGACAAGTACGGAGTGGAAAGACTGAAGAAAATGTGCGAGGGGGCAAAAATGTCAAAAAATTAAATCTTAAGAACGCGACGGAAATCTTCATACTTGCCGAT